TGTATTTGATGAGATTTATTTTTCACTACAAATTCTCCTTTAAAAACTTGAATTGATCTTATATAAAAGGAAAAGGACGTCAAAAAGATCTCTACATTGTATCTTACCCATCGGACTCTCCTAGTCGATTTCCTCCCTCCCATGCAATCCTCTCCAATCTTCTGTCCCCATCACGATGGTTGAGCCACCTCACAATAGTCCCATCCCCTGCCAACTAAATGGTAAAATGTCAAATTTCAAATTGGCTTGAGGGGACTAGCTTGGGTTGGATATAGTAAAATGAAGAGTTTATCCACTTGTACAAAATCGTTTCTTATATAAAAATGATAGAATACTCACATGTGAGTGGGCTCCATGTGAGTAAAATATTATTATAAAAAAATGAGGCCCATCCCCATGTGTGTATTATGTCATTTTTACAGAATTATTTTTTCTGTAACCGTAGCACGGTATATCACAATTTCGATAGTTATAACACGATGTAAGTAATAAATAATTCTTTTTATAAAAAATTAAAATCCTAAAGTGAGACTTTGTTACTCAAAATAAACCTCAATAAGATGTTTCTTTAACTATTTAAAAAGATAAATATCTGTACAACAACCAGTTTCCTCGTAATGGTCTCTCAAATGGTGTCTTTTCTTTTTTGTCAAAAAGGTTTTTTTTTTAAAATTATATCATTTTGTTAAGACATGGCGTGTGATCACATGATTGAGTCCTTGGAATAGCATTGTGGAACTGGAAGTATCATGTGGACTGTTGAGGGAGGCTAAATAAAGCCAAATTAATTATTTACTTATATCCCTTTGAACTCAACAATATGCTCTCTCTGAGATATTCAGAGACTTTGCAGCCTAGAGATCCTCACATGCAAGCTGATCTCCCCACCCTCCTAACCTACAGCATGTTTGACCTTTGACCATATACATACATAAATTTTTCATACATGCTTGTATATATCGAGTTTAAGCATGTATATTAATATGAGTGGAAGAGAAAAACCTCATAAGGATTTGCCTAGTAACAAAGAGTGAATTGGAAAAGGCTTAACTTTAGAATTGTGCAAAACGAGTGATATTGAAAAACGCAACTTGAAAATTAAGGGTCTGTTTTCTTTACCATTTTCAAACCTTTTTCTGTTTTTGATTTTCCAAAACAATGAAAACGAGTTCTATTTCCTATTTTCGAAAACACGTTTTCGAAAACAAGTTAAAAATTTACAAAGAAAACCCAAAACGACGAATCAAATCAAAATTTTCAAAATGTGTTTTGGGTGTTTTCAAATTGCCAAAAAAAAAAAAAAATTTCAACAATCTCAAAATGAACATTCAAAACACAAAACTCAAAATGAATTCAAAACTCAAAACACAAAATTAAAACACAAAGAGAACGATCTCTTAAGTAATTTTGTATTTGAATTATAGTACGGATAAACATTGTCACAACGGGGAAGGGAAATAGATTAAGAATATCTGATACTAATTCAATGATAAGAGAGAGACTATTTTAACTTAGAAGTTAGAATTAAGTTACTTTTGACGGATGTTGAGGTGGGCAAACAATGGCCAAATGTGTGCCATCTCAGCATTTTTGTAAAGAAAACTGTACAAGTAGTATGGTTCTTTAACTTATTAAAATGAAAAATAATTTCCAAGAGAATTTTGTTAGAAGTTAATTTTTAAAATTGAAGAACATGCGTGCACGTCCAAGGCATTAGACAAATTTGTTCACGTACACAAATATTTTTGGTAGTCAGTCCATTGGATCCTTTGCACGTGAGATTCATTACTCCAATGGTAAAAACACCAACTCCACCCCCTTTGTCACGTGGTGTTGGTCATTTCCTCTTGTATATTTTCACAAGAGTAACTTGAATTTCGGAATTTTAGGAACTAGGTTTGAATATTAGACAAAATATTATCGAATAGTTTTTGAAAAAAGAGAGATGTGACGAAATTGTATTATTTAATTTAACGTATCAAACTATTTGAATGATAAAAACATTTAAACAAAATGCAATGAATTTATTAAGACTTTGAAAACCACAATTTTGAACTATTTAGCCCTCGTTTGGTGGTCTTTTTTGAAAAAAACATTATTTTAAATAATGATTTTTTTGGATAATATGTGATTAAAAAGTAGAAAAATGTTTAGAATTTACGTGTAAAATATTTTATTGTATGAATGTGTGGTTAAAAATGAATATGTAGAAAAAAGAATTTTAAAAGAAAGAAAGACAAACATTATTTCTATAATAGGTTTGAATAGCTAATTTCATTTGTTAACCAAGGATGAAAAAAAAAAAAATGACACGGTGAAGGATACCCGAGTCATTTTCCTACATCGAGCTAAGTAATATTTTTAAGTAAATAATGCAATTTAAAATTATTTTTTTAAAAAGAAAATGTTATTTAGATTGTCAACGTTGAAACAAAAAATGATATGATAATTAACACATAACGTCCTTACCCTTCACTATTATTATTAAAAAAACGTTATTACTTTTTATTTTTTGACATTTTCACTCTTATTTCCACATTTCATTGCGCAAAATGTCACTTTCATCCAATTTCTCAATAAAACTATGGAATGATGAATATACCTTATATTTAAATAAAAATAAATAAAAAGAAAATTATTTTTTTTAATTTTTAATTTTCTAATAATTTATTTGAGACTCATTTGTACTTTTTTTTAAAAAAATTATATTTTTTAAATAATTTATTTGTAACTCGTTTGCACTTTTTTTTTAAAAAAAAATTCTAATTTTAATAATTTATCTGGAACTTGTTTACACTTCTTAAAAAAATTGGGACTATGATTGCAATTAGTTCTTTATTTATTTATTTTTATTTAAATAGTGGGATATATTTGTCTTCATAGTTTTTTATTGAGAAATTAGATAAACAATAATAAAAATGATAGTTTGCGCAATCAAATGTGTAATTAAGGAGAAAAAAAATATCAAAAATGGAAGGTATGAATGTTTTTCACAATAATAATGAAAAATATGGGCATCATGTGTTAATACCCTTTTAATAATTTATTTGGGACTCATTTGCATTGTTTTGAAAAAAAAATGGGATTATGATTACAATTAGTTCTTTTTATCTTTTTTGTTTATTTAAATATAAACGTATATTCGTCATTTCATAGTCTTTAATCGAGAAAATGGATGAAAATGACATTTTGCTTAATGAAAACATGGATGAAAATGCCAAAAAATAAAAGGTAAGAACGTTTTTTACAGTAATAGTGAAAGATAAGGACGTTATGTGATAATTACCCAAAAATGATATTACCTATCTAAACCCGAGGCTTGAACTTGTGACTTCCATTTTTGCAAATACTACGTTGAATTATATCTTCAAAAATTTAAGTTCGATCGAGTCGATAGATAACACTTAAAGTTGATGGTAGATTCAGAAGGTTAAGACAGATTAGCCCTTGATTAATTCTTGAAGGTAAAAGGAAAAAAAGTGCCCTCAAAATGGGAATGAGAATTGAAAATAAATCAGCCCATTATGTCCCAAATTAGTAGTGCTTAATGACTTGTATTTGTCTATGAATTAAAGCTACTCCGTGCATTCGTAGTTACACATACATTTTATTTTCCTTTTACTCTAATGTTGTCAGCCCAGAAAAAAAAATTGTTCTCATCGGAACTTTTAAGTCAATCTTTAGAGTATCATATCTTTTATGAGACGAGATACGAAATTTTTTATTTCACCGATTTATTTATTTATTTATTGAATCATTCAAACTGTGCTGAGTTCTTGAATATCTTTCGAGGGACAGTTACACCGTCTCATTAAATCTAATCGTTTAAATATTACAAATTAAGATTTTGAATTGGTGGTGGCAGCCATTTCAAGAACGGGCAATTTAGTTTAGAGTTGAAGCTCTTAGCACTAGGAGATGATAAAATTAGTTTAAAGGGTAATAAGGACTGGGTTAACGGGAACGGCACCCACGTTCTCCCAATATCCTACTCCATTTTATTTTAGAATAAAGCTATGTATACATAATTTTTTACACAATGTTTTACACCCCCCTCACATGGAGGGGGGCCCACACATAATAAAATAATCATGGACCCCCCCTCCATGTGAGAGAAGTGTAAAAAATTGTGTGTACACATAGCACCACTCTTTATTTTATTTTATTTAATAGTGAATACTCAATCCCTCTCTCACGCACACTTGCTTTCCTTTTAAGTACGGTAAAATCAACTTATTTAAAAGTTTAAATTAATATATTAATTTCCTCACTTGCCTATCGTTTGGCCCCTATTATAATGAGATTTTTGGAAATAATGAATACTAATTTTCGAGAGAACATGTGGTTTAAAAAAAAAAAATTTTACGTGTAATGTTTTTTTAATAAAGAATATGTAGTAGAAAAGAAAAGAAAAAATGTATTAAAATTTTAATGGGTTAATCAAATAGGTGCTATATCACAAAAACCTAACATGTGCAGAATTTTCAGAAACGAACGACGATCCAAACTTTGCAAGTTCGACACCATTTTAAATAAAGACATTTGTTTACATTTTATCTTCGACCCACACAATTCTCTCTTTCACATAGACAAGCAACCACACACCAAATAACAAGTCCCCTCTTGACAAAAATGTAGTGCATGTACCCAAGAAATAAATAAATATATTCATTCCTCCTTCTCTCACTCACACACATGCAGCCACACGCCAAATGACAAGTGACCCTATTCACAAAATGTTGTGTGTACCCAAGGAATAAATATATTTCCATCCCTCTCTTGTGACACTCCATAAATGCCCTACAATTCATGCCCTAATCCCTCTCTTTCTCGAGATATGATCAACTAGGATAGCAATAAGGCATTCGATTTCTTCTTCGACTAAACTATATTGCGGTCTTCATAACCATCGATCATTTCGTGTAGACAGTCATGGTAGGTTTATCCCAAGTTCTAAGTTTTTCTTTTCTTCATTTTATGATCTGAATTGAGCTTTAATAATGTGCTGTGATCAGGGAAATCAGAAGCCTGCATGGTTGGAAGCTCTATATGTGCAGAATTTTTTTGTGCCTTGCTCAATTCATGAAACTGCCAAGAAAAATGAGAAAAATATTTGCTGTTTGGATTGTTGTACAAGTATTTGCCCTCACTGTGTTCTTTCTCATCGCTACCATAGACTTATGCAAATTCGACGTTACGTGTATCACGAAGTCCTTCGATTAGAAGACCTGGAGAGGCTTATCGACTGCTCGAATATTCAGGTTATATAGTTGCTCTTTCTAGCACAAATTAATTTTGGCTGCGAGTGTTTTAATTGATGAAGAATTCATAATTCTTGTAGGCCTACACTATAAATGCTGCAAAAGTGGTGTTCATTAAAAAAAGACCTCAAAACAGACAGTTTAAAGGGTCTGGAAATTATTGCACTTCCTGTGATAGAAGCCTCCAAGAACCCTATATCCATTGCTCTCTAGGCTGCAAGGTACTAAAACTTCTTTGTTTTTTTCTATCTCAAACAATATATATGGCTTTTAATCTAAATTTGATAGGTCTGCAAATTTTGTTAGTTAATTACAAATGAAATTTGAATATTAAGAGGGTATTTGGTGGGGATTAAAATTAGATTTTTAGTAGATTGTGATACAAGTTTTTGAAATGTGTGGTTGAAAAGTTGTGGGACCCATGAAAGATGTGGTTAATATTGATTGTTTGACTTTGACTTGGATTAAAATCAGATTTTAATCCGGACCAAACAGGAGTTAAAGTATAAGCTTTTAGACAGGGTGAATCAAACATATTTCTTGGTTTACGGCTAGTCGCTACTCATCTATGAAGATTGTGTACACATTAATTAGTTTTTTATGAAAAGATAAATCCTGCTAGCCCAAAATTGTGAAGACAGATGAATAACTTTATCCATCTCAAAACGTTCAATTGTTGAATCAAAATTGTGCAGCAAATAAACCTAGTACGATTCAAATTGTCCAAAGACCTAAAGCAATTAAAATTTTGTCCATTGTATTGTACCATTAAATTGTCCATTATATTGTACCATTAAATTGTCCTATACTAACGTAATGCGAAACAAGGAATTCAAGCGAAAACTTTAAAAACACAATTTTTGGAATCCACTAAATTATGAAGAAATAAACTTACGAAATTTTATTAATGTAGATGATAAAAAATGATGAATTAACCATTTATTTATAAGGTTTTACATGAAAATCTAGTTTAAACAAACTAAAATTGAAAAGAATTCGAAATAAACTAAATGACAAAGATAGCACTAAAACCTTAAAAGTAGTTCTCGAGCCCTGAATGGACTTGGATGACTAAAATCCATCATACATCATGGCAAATCCATGAGTGCTACTCGTCTTGTCGTTCACTTTTCAAAATGATAGTATGAGCTCAAATCGGAGCTCGAACGTCGCACCTACACTATTACATTTTTCCCTTTTCAACTCAATTCTTCTTCAATCCATTCAGTTGTATGTTGTACATCAAATAATGTGTATCGCACCTGCACTAAAATTATACAATCCGGACTCGTCAACGCATGTATAATTTTACTAGTGATATATTTGCGTTTCTTGACAGGTTGATTTTGTTCTTAAACACTACGATGGCCTGTCTCCCTTCCTAAGAGTCTGCAAAACTTTGCAACTTAGTCCAGATGTCTTCATCCCTCAAGATATAGGAGATGATGAGATGACAAACGAAACCCAACATTCTACGATTGTAGACTGTACTATCGAAGATCATGATCATAATTCTTCATCAGACGGCTCAGAGAACACCAGCTTCGTTTGCACTGATTATGTCAAAAAGAAGAGAAGCACTGGATTATATGTCTGTGGAAGATTAGTCGATAAGATAATTACAGAAGAGGACATGGCTACAAGTATGATCAGTAGAAGAAAAGGGATTCCTCGTAGATCACCCCTGCGTTAGGGCAAAAAAATTAACATAGTTTTTTACTGAAAATTTGAATTTCTTTACACATTTTTAGTCAATTATTAATGACTAGGTCGGGTTTTTTGTCTTAATGGCATCATGTGTGTTTTTCAATTCCCAAGTTTACAGTTTTGTACAATTTTCTGCCCTTTTTATTATTTATACTTTTCACTATTAAATAGAGTGACTATATATAGAAGAAGTATTATAAAATTTCTGGTCCAGAGTTCAATCCTAAAAAATAAAGAAAGAAGAAAACATTTTAAAAAAATGTCTCTTGGATAGCCTATTTTATTAGGTATATTGGAATCTTGAATTTTTCAATAGTAAAAAATCAATCTTGTCGTGAAAAGAAATTTAAGTCCATATAATTATTTGAAACTAGTTTTGAAATGTGATTGTTTGTATGAGTTTTAGAAAGGTTCATATGGTCACTTAAACTTTCATACTAAGGGGTTGTCTGGTATTGATTTTCATACCGCTGTAACACATTTCAGCCGAAATCTTTGACCATTTCTTTCACAGTGGGTCCCATGAATTTGAATAAAACGGTAAAAAAAATCACTACAAATCCGAAAAGAAGCAAAAGCAGAAGCAGACAGGCACTTAGTCTTGAGTTTTCATCTTAAAAGACTAACTTTATTAAAAAAATACATAGCCAAACTCTTATATTATAATAATAATAATAATAATAATTATTATTATTATTATACCATACCATCACATGTATCAACAATAACCACCACCACCACCATGTCTAAGAAAATTACAGCCAACGCCGCCATTACCATGTCTAACAACTCCACCATCAGATCCATCCCATTAGATCCATTGTCGATCCAACAACACACACCTCCACCACCACCAGATCCACCACCATCTCCACCAACAAAAATCACAGTCAAAACATGTCAATCACCGCCACCATCATTTTCTACGTGCGGCTTCTCTGCTCAACGATGATGATGTCATTGTAGACGGCGTTGTAGCCGAGAAGCCTCTTCGAAATTGTGAGAGACTTCTGCAAAGAAGCCCCACCGATTTTGTATATATAAACTATAATTATGATTTCTGAAATACAATCTTTAAAAGTAGGCTTTCATTTAATGTCCCAAAAGCCCCACCAATTTTGTATATATAAACTATAGTTATGATTTCTAAATTGCAATATTTAAAAGTAGGCTTTCATTTAAGGATCATGTTACATGTACAGAATTTTTTTATCAAATTTTTTACCTACTACTCATAATGGGGATGAAGATCACATTATCGAAATTTTTAAATATACGAGGACCCCACGCGTTATGTGTGAGAGAGTAATCCATTATATACAAATCATTATGTACAAATGGATTAACCCTTCATTTAATTTCGGGAAAAATTCATAAATAAGGTGTATTCTTTACACCAATTCAAAAATAAGGT